ACTTCTGGAGAGACTTCGTTCAGCTAAAATATTTACGAAGCTTGATCTACGGGGGGCATATAATCTGGTTCGCATAAGACCAAATGATGAATGGAAAACAGCTTTCAGAACCAGGTACGGACATTACGAATATCTAGTAATGCCATTTGGGCTTTGTAATGCCCCTGCAACTTTTCAGCATCTAATCAATGATGTACTACGGGATCTCCTGGATCAGTTTGTTGTGGCATATTTGGATGATATCCTGATATTTTCTGATAATCTTGAAAATCACAGAAAACAGGTCTGCATTGTTCTTGAGCGCCTTCGTACCCACCACCTATACATTAAACTGGAAAAATGTGAGTTTGAACAAACAGAAATTCAGTTCCTGGGGTATGTAATAACTCCTAAAGGTTTAAGTATGGACGCAAGTAAAATTAAAGCTGTGCTGGACTGGCCCATCCCCAAGAATGAAAAAGATATACAGAGATTTGTGGGGTTTGCCAATTTTTACAGGCGTTTCATTAAGAATTTCTCTGCCGTTATTACACCGATCACTGAACTTACACGTAAAGGGACTCCTTTTCAGTGGTCCAATAAGGCTGACACTGCATTTTCCAGATTAAAGACTCTGTTTACATCTGCCCCTATCTTGGTACATCCTCAGCCAGAATTGCTATTTACTGTAGAGGTAGATGCTTCTGATTCAGCTGTTGGGGCTATACTATCTCAAAGGACTGGACCTAAGATGTTGTTACATCCATGTGCCTTCTATTCCCGCCAGATGTTACCAGCAGAAAGAAATTATGACATAGGGAATAAAGAACTTTTGGCTATAAAAGCTGCCTTCACCGAATGGAGACATCTCTTGGAGGGAGCCACCCATCCACTTACTGTCCTCACAGATCACAAAAATCTGGAATGTATCCAATCCGCTAAGAGACTGTCAGCCAGACAAGCACGCTGGTCCCTATTTTTCTCAAGGTTTAATTTTTTTTATTTCATACCGCCCTGGTTCCAGAAATGGCAAGGCGGATGCCTTGTCTAGGATAGCTGACCCTCTCCATACTACAGTAACCAAGGCCACCATCTTGCCGGAGAGCAGATTTTTAGGAGTTACCTTTCCTTCTGATCTAATGTCTCGCATTAAAAAGGGCTACTCTAAAGATCCAGTTTTTCGTGATCTTCATATGACCATGCTTAATGGGTTTTGGATTTTTCAACAACGTCTGTTTGTTCCAGAATCAGTGCGACTGGACGTTTTACGCCTCTACCATGATTCTAAACCAGCAGGTCATCCAGGAATCCGAAAGACACAAAAACTACTTACCCGATCCTTTTGGTGGCCTAAATATTATGAGGATGTTAAGAAGTATGTGTCCTCTTGTGATGTATGTGCCAGACATAAGACTCCTCGCTCATCCCCTGTTGGCTTGCTTCAGCCTCTTCCGATTCCTCATCGTCCCTGGGGATCTATATCCATGGACTTTATTGTGGAACTACCTCCCTCTAAGGAACACACTACTATTCTTGTTGTTGTGGACCGGTTAACCAAGATGAGTCATTTCATACCAGCTCGTGGTCTCCCTTCAGCTAAACAGACTGCTGACCCTGTTATTCGGGAAATATTTCGCTTGCATGGAGTGCCTGATGAAGTAATTTCTGACAGGGGAGTGCAGTTTACATCTCATTTTTGGAAATATTTTTGTTCTATTCTAGGTATTAATGTAAATCTGTCTTCAGCTTTTCATCCACAAAGTAATGGACAGGCTGAGCGAACCAACCAGACTTTAGAACAATATTTGCGGTGCTATATTAGTTACCTGCAGGATGACTGGCTGGATTTTCTACCCACGGCGGAGTTTGCCTATAACAATGCTCAACACTGCTCCACTTCTCTGAGCCCATTTTTTGCCAATTATGGTTACCATCCAACCTTTCTAGTGAGTCTCCCAATTACTACTCCTATTCCTGCAGTCACTGACCGGCTAACCGCCTTACGAGATTCCCAAGAACTGTTGAAGGAGACTCTTTCGGAGGCTCAGGAATGTTACAAAAGAGCTGCTGATAGGCACAGAAAGGAGGCCCCAGTTTATCATGTTGGTGACAAGGTTTGGCTGTCAACAAAGAATCTTAAGCTTAGGATTCCTTCTCATAAATTGGGTCAAAAGTTCATTGGACCTTTTAAGATAATCGCTCAGATCAATGCAGTCACCTTCCGTCTGCAACTTCCGGATTCCATGAAAATACATCCGTTGTTTCACGTGGCACTGCTTAAACCTTTTCATGAAAATACTTTCCCTGGTCGAGCCTTGCCTGCCCCACCACCAGTCCTCGTGGATGGTGAAGATGAATACGAGGTGGAAAAAAATTCTTGACTCCAGGATCTTCCGCAACAAGCTTCAATACTTGGTTCATTGGAAAGGCTATGGTGAGGAGGATAGA